ATCTATCTATCTATCTATCTATCTATCTATCTATCTATCTATCTATCTATAGAGAGAGAGTAGGCAGGCTCAAGGAGACACCATGTGATTGACAGAGGAGACAGACGCCATGGAGCTGCTGAAAGAGAAGGACACACCAGAAACTCACTGGTAGTCCACAACCTTGTGGCAATACACATATTAATAGAAATGGGTTAATTTAAGATGTAAGGGTTATTTAAGAAACCTGAGCTAATAGGCCAAAGAGTGCTGTAATTAATATAGTTTTGTGTGATTATTAGGGTCTGGGCGGCCAGAAAATGAACAAACAGTCTCTGTTTACATTAGCAAGACACAGAGGAAGTCAGATGTACTACTGTACTGAGGAGGGGTAACTAGCCATGTGGCAGAATGTAGATTAATATAAATGAGTTAATTTAAGTTTTAAGTGCTAGTTGGGAATAAGCCTCACCTAAAGCTAAGCTTTCATACTTAATAAGAAGTCTCTGTGTCATTTGGGAGCTGACAGGCCAAAGAAAGTCCTATTACACACAAAACCGGTTTTTCCATGAAGAAGGCTGGGAATTGGAGGTGATTAACAGCCTGGTGATCTGTGTTATCTGTAGGGCCAGGCCATATCAAGCTCCATGACCAGGCCTGGGGGTGACTAGTAGTCTAAACGAATCACATTATTTTTACAGCCAGGGCTCCCCGCAAGCTCCTCCAACCAGGACCGGAGGTGGCTAGTAGTCTAAATGACTCTTATATTATCTGACCGGAGGTGACTAGTAGCCCAAATGACCTCTACACTATCTGTATGACCAAGACAGATCCTTTCTTAGGCCCTTAAGCTAAGATAGGTACCCTATCTCTAAAATCCATCTTGGAAGAAATGACATGGATTTTGAGTTTCAATTTAATTATGTCTCCTGTGCACCAGGGATTGTATTAAACCAGGAAACATTTTCAAATTGTACTGTGTTTAAATATGCTGGCAATAAAGTGCCTGGCACCCAGACTCCCACTAAGTCAGAATCAATTGAATTTTTATTCTCACCTCTTCACGGATCATTTTGCTGCCAACCGTGATGCCTGCATCAACCCCTGCATCAGCCAAACTACCATAATTTGGTAAAAAAAATGGCAGCCTGGAGCAGTGACCTGTGAGGGCTTTTTGGCCTCTGATATCTCCAGATAGAAGAGCCAGGCTCCTCTCTGGCTTCCCCCATTCATCCACAGTGCAAGTCAAGGCTGGTGTGGTGACTTGAATAGGAACGGCCCCATAGGATGATATATTTGAGTGTTTAGTCACAAGTGAGCGGCACTATTTGAAAGGATTAGAAGGATAGGTGTGGCCTTGTTGGAGGAAGTGTATCACTGAGGACTGGATTTGAGGCTTCAAAAACCCACATCAGGTCCAGGATAGCTCTTTCTTCTCTCTCTCTCTCTCTCTCTCTCTCTCTCTCTCTCTCTCTCTCTCTCTCCCTGCCTAATGATCAGAATGTTGCTTTCAGCTGCTGCTCCAATGTCTACCTGCATGGCTGCCACGCTCACTGCCATGATAAGATGGACTAGACCTCTGTAACTGTAAGCAAGTTCTCCACTAAATGCTTTCTTTCATAACAGGTGCCTCGGTCATGGTGTCTTCTCACAGCAGCAGAACAGCGACTCAGACAGACGGAACCCCCTTCTACCCAGCCACTCTTCAGGGTCATCGCTTGCGGTTGTGTGTGCCTTGATAACTCTTGGGGGACCTCCACATCAGCCGGTTTGTGGGCGCCTCCACTCTGCTGTGCCACAACACACCACTCTCCATTCCTTGCGTTTATGCCCATAGTCTCATAGTTTTGGAAAGCGGTGATGAGTGACAGCTTGCTCATTCCAGGCTAGAAAGCGCTTTCTGGAAGACACATACTTCCCTGCCCCCAACATCCACCTGGCCTTGCTGAGCTTTGGTCAGTGCCATGTGAGCATTAGCAGTGTGCCCCAGGTCTGCTTTGCCAGGAGAACGGAATGGTTCAGAGTGTCATGGCTCCCTTAGCCTGGATCTCAGAATGAAGCATGTACCAGGAGCAATCCCCACCCTTCTGACTTACAGGTGCAGGAGGCAAAACTTGGTTGCTGTGATCAACTGAGGTTTGAGGTTTAAGTTTACAGAGGGATAAACCCAGCTGCCCTCTGAGGTTGGCACTTCTCTGCTTGAATATTGTTCAATTCCATGTGTCATTGATATTTGTGAGTAGGACAAGAATATACCACTCCGACTTTGCTGGTTTGGCATAAGAACCAACAAAAGCAGAAGGTAAAATGATCATGCAAAAGAGGTCCTTCTTACCCTGGTGGAAAGCACAACCCTATTCCCAAAGATAGGAAGTCAGCAGTCCTGGTAGAATTCTGAAGATATCCTGTTCAAACAATTCACAGGTTTGCCAGCACATGAAATTTATGTCCTTCCTCCAAGCTCACTAATTTGTTGTTGTTGTTGTTGTTGTTGTTGTTGTTGTTGTTTTTGAGACAGGGTTTCTCTGTAGCTTTGCAGCCTGTCTTGGAACTAGCTCTTGCAGGCCAGGCTGGCCTCGAACTCACAGAAATCTTCCTGCCTCTGCCTCCTGAGTGTCGGGATTAAAGGTGTGTGCCACCACCACCTGGCTCCAGCTCACTATTAACCTTTGTCCTGTGACGCACACAGGAATGACCTCATGTTTCCAGGGCTTTATCTCCTCAGCTTAGGTACCTCTATCCTGCAAAACCTGGAGCAAAGACTCTACAATGCTTTCCTCCTGTTGATCTGTCATACCCCATTGTGATTCTCAGGCCCATCTAGGACCCCATGAGGATGGAGGTGGGGTTCTGCCACACTGTGTAGGTGTGAGTGAGTGAGCAACCTCATGGACTGGGCCTGTTGGGTCTTCTTGCTCAGCCCGCAGCCCTTCCTGTAGACGTCTTCCCATCCTCTGCGGAGCCTCCACTCCTGCACCTCTCAACACTGAAGAGCAGGCAGATGAGCCCCACCTCTGGCTTTCTTCTGGGGGTGCCCCTAGAACCAGTGATCTACAGGCCAGCTCCTCCTCTGAGCTCTTTTTTTTTTTTAAATTTTCTTTCCTTTTTGTGTGTATGTTTGTGCACTAGTGCGTGCTGGTGGAGAACGGTGGTAGATCTGAGTGCCTTCCTCAGTTATCCTTCATCTTATTTCTTGAGACAAGGTTTACTACTGAACACGGAGCTCACTGATTCAGCTAGATTGGCTGATCAGAGAGCCCTGGGGATACTCATGTCTGCTTCCTCAGCACTAGGACTACAGATGCCGGCCACTTTATGGAATCATCTCCCCAGCCCTACTCTTATGTTTTGCCTGCGTATGTTTGTGCACAGTGTGCGTGCTTGGTGCCTGAAGAAGCCCTACGGGGGCATCAAATGCTCTGGAACTGTAGTTACAAAGGGCTGTGAGGATGCTGGGAACCCAACCCTGGGTCCTCTGGAAGAGCACTAGCGCTCTAAACCCCTGAGCTATCTCTTCAGCCCCTCACCTATACTGCTTTTGACATCGCGACATGGTTCCTGACTTCCTGCCTGGACCTTCAATCTCCACCTCACCACTTACGGATATCTTGTGGTGCCTCTCTTCCTTTTCCAGTCTCTGCATCTGTTTTGTGGGCCTGGGGGATCTACTGCTTGATCGGTCAGGCTGCCAAGTGGTACCCAACTTCAGTCAAGCAGGGCCTGAACGAGAAAGCATCACAGGGCTAGTGAAAAACGGCCAGGACAAGCGGATTCCAGAAGCCTCTACTCTTCCAAGGGGCACATCGCTCCGAGCTTCTGTTTATCTCCTGCGGGTTGTTTTTCTCTCGAGTTCATGGCTTAAAAGCTGACACAAGCGCAGAAAGGCTGGGTTCTTGTAATTAAATGCCGCTGCTCTGCAGTTCGGATCGCTGCTTCAACTCCAATGCCACTGCCCTGCAACACTTCCAGGTGTCTGATGTAAGACGAGACCCGCATTAGCACATTTTGCACAGGCGCACCGCTTGCGGAAGTCCGTCGAGCTTCTCCCGCTACTCCATTGGCCAACGGGTTTATGCACGTGCAAATAAAGTAACCCAGTTCCTTTCCCCACTTAGGAGGCTAGATCTTCCCCGAGGGGTGGGGTGGAGGGTTTGCCTACGCGCTGGAATATTCGGGGCGGAGTCTGGGGCGGGACAAGGGCGTGGCCTAGCAGTCCTGACTCTGGAGCAGCCCTCCCGGACTGGGCTACGAGGTTGAGCATTATTACCGACTGAGGCTTCCCGGAGCCCGGAGCAGTAGGGGACCGAGAAAACCATGAGTGCGGTGGACCTTAGTCGCGTGGGCGCGTGTGTCTTGAAGCATGCAGTGACCGGGGAGGTGAGGCCTGCCCGGCGCAGGGCGGAGAACGTATCCCAGCACCCGCCCCGCTGCCCTGCCAACTCACATGGGCTAGAGTGGAGGTTCAGAGGGGTCCCATGGGTTCGCATGCTGGGCGTGGGTATTGCCGCAGTAGGAACAGTGGGGCTGAGAATCATGGAGCAGCACAGCACACTGCGGGACGTGTGGGGCTGTAGGACCCACGGCTATGATGAGCCCACGCCCCCTGACAGCTTTATTCTGCAGGCTGTGGAGCTGCGGAGCCTTTGGCAGGATAAAGCTTGTGTGGTGGCCGGTCTGCGACGCTTTGGCTGCATGGTGTGCCGTTGGATTGCTCAGGATCTCAGCAACCTCCGGAACTTTCTGGACCAACACGATGTGCGCCTAGTGGGCGTGGGGCCTGAGGCCCTGGGCCTGCAGGAATTCCTGGATGGTGGCTATTTCTCAGGAGGTGCGACTCTTCCCGGACTCGGAACCTTGGTTGGCCTCCCCGCGAAGCCCTGTCCACCCCTTCCCAGGCCAAACAGGAACATACTCATGTGTCAGCACTTCAACTCTCCCATGCGCAATCTCCAGCCTGTGCACTGACTGCCTAGGCCCAGTGGCAAAGTCCCAGGGACTTGCCCTTTCGGTTTAAGCAGTGCTGACATTCAATCCCACCTTGCTCCTCTTGGCTTGGTTGGGTTGAACTGGACACTGTAAGTGGAGGGGACAGACAGTGGAGGCCTGGGGCACATACTTGTGGTTTTCCCTTTTAGAACTCTATCTCGATGAGAGCAAGCAGTTCTACAAGGAGCTGGGCTTCAAGCGGTAAGTGTGGCTGTGTGGGACTAGCCAGGGACAGGAGGATAGAGCGGCTGCTGCTCTGTTAGGCATCTTCTTGCTACCACCCTCTGTTCAGTTTGTGTCCTGGAAATGAACTCTGGTGGCCTGGGCCCTTCTCTGGGGTCTTCTCATGGGTGTTGGTCCACGTCAGGCCTACCCTCTGCAGTTTCATAAACAGGAGGGAATCTTGGAGCCCAGTGCCTGAGCAATGGCCCAGTTCAGTCCTCTGCTGCCACAGGCTGCCTGTCGTGATCGGCAGTGCCAGCTAAACCAGATCCCGGGGCACACCCAGCTTGGAGTTCAGTCCCCTCATTCCAGCCCCTCTCCGGGGCCTCAGGCCAGCGGTAGCCAACCTGGGGCTCCCTATGCTTCTACAGACGCTCCGGGTTCAGGTGGAGGCCCCGGTAAGAGAAGTGGGTGGGGCAGGACACTGGGAACAGGAGTGTGCACGTGTGCTTGTCCAGCGTCTGGACTCGGGACCTTGTGTCTTTGTAGGTACAACAGCTTGAGCATCCTGCCGGCCGCCCTGGGGAAACCTGTGCGTGATGTGGCCTCCAAGGTCTGTGGCGGCCAAGAGCATGGTGGGAGTCCCTGGAGCCTTCGCTATGGGACTGACCTGGTCCTGTTCCTGTCTTTCTAGGCTAAGGCTGTTGGCATCCAGGGGAACCTGTCTGGTGACCTCTTGCAGAGTGGAGGCCTGCTGGTGGTCAGCAAGGGTGGGTCAGGGCAGGGCATACGGCTCCATCTGGCCCTTTTTGGTGGTTCTTGTCTTCATGGTGCCCACCCCTGAAACCGTCTTGGGTGCTTGGGTGGGAGGTTGGGCTGCTTGGCTGGGTTAGTGGATTCTCCTCTTCTTCCTGTCACATGGGTGTAAGATACAACTTGACCGCCTGCCTGTGGCTGCAGGTGGTGAAAAAGTACTGCTGCATTTCATCCAGAAGTCCCCGGGCGACTATGTTCCCCAGGAGGATGTCCTGCAGGCCCTGGGTATCTCTGCAGAGGTTTCCTCCAGCAAACCACCCCAGGTGAGAAGAGGCCTTGGGGTACACTGCTTGTTATCCAGCTCCTAGCGTGTGTGTATATGTGTGTATATGTGTGTGTATATATGTGTGTGTGTGTGTGTGTGTGTGTGTGTGTATGTATATATATCCATCCCTTTGGGACACATACACACACACATCTATCCCTTTGGGACAGTGGTTGGCATGGTTAGGAACTGAGCTACAGCCTCTTGGGATTTACCTAATTTTGTGTGTGTTGGCAGTCTTGGGATGTAGATGTGTCTCTGTGACACTACTTGTAGAGGGGAATAAGCTGAAAGGGATGGAGGAGCAGTGAGGACAGTGATCAGGTATAGCAGGGTCCCGCTGTGGGCAGGAGCTGTGGGTTAGGGAGGGCTGGGCTCTGTGACTCCATCGGGCATGGGTTACACTGCTTCCTGTGTCCAGCACACCTCCTTCTTGGCCTCTGAGGAGTACGACCAGACTGACAGGGCCCCTGTTTCCCCTACAGTGTGACGAAGAGGTGTGTGGGAGGTGACGCCTGGCCTCTGAGGACTTGGAGGCGTCTGCAACCTTGGATGTAGCTGGAGTAGAAGGAATCGCTGTGGAGCCATTGGGACATGATGCAGGACATTGTCTCCTCCTTGAACGGCAATGAGACATTAAAGTGCAGGTCCCGGGCAGTGAGTGTCCCCACTGCTTCCGCTCTCTGCATCCTCTAGTTCCTACTGTTGTCCCTGCGGGCATCTTCTAGAGGACAGACTTCAGGTTTTGGCTGTGGGACCCTGGGGACAACAGTGTCATTTCCTTACAAGGTCACCCTGACACTGTAGCTCACTCCGTTGGAGGCTGCAGAGAGGAGAGTTTGTTGGACTCAGCTCCCAAATGGAGCCCAGCTGTGGGGAATGGGAGGCAGGTGTCTGCTTGTGTTCGAGGTGGAGGTTGGAGGCTAATGGGACTCAGGGAAGAGGTGGCAGACGAAGACTGAGGGACCATTTCCAGAGCTGGAAACCCTTTCCGGATCTGACTGGCTGCTGCTGTCCCAGAAGAAGCCTGGGTCTGGCTAAGCATGTCTGTTTCCCTGGGGTCCGAAGGTCTGAGCAGAACTCCAGACACCCCACCATTTCAGGTGTTCCCTTCTCAAGGGTTCTTCCCTCTAGGTGGGTTCTGATGACCGGCTTAGCACTTTCTAAGACCAAGCCAGGGTGACTGCCATGTCCACCTCGATGTCCTCCCTCTATTCAGGGACCATCTGTACGCAGCAGGTGACGCCCCCTTTG